CCTGATGGCAATTTTTAGAGTATCTATTTTAATTGTATTTTAATTATTTTATCTTTTTATTGTATTTTATTGTATTTTAATTGTTGTAAGCTGCACAGAGACCTTTGGGTAGAGTGGGTGGCATATAAGTTAAACAAACAAATAAAAGGTGGGAGGAGAGGTTGCCACAAGCCCCAGAAACAAGGAAGAGGAGGAGGAGGAGAGATTAAAGGAATAAGGGACAAAGAATGGGAGAACAAAGAGAAGGAACACTCTAAGGGAGAGAAGGAAACCAGAGAGGAACAGTTCAGCTCTGACCTCTGTAAGGGGTGGGAATGGATTGAGAATCAGACAGAAGATTTTCAAGGACTTGGGAGCTAGTCAAACTGAAAGTGGCCAAGGAGGAAGCTGAAAGGAGAAAGAGTAGACCACCCTGAAAGCCTTCATATTGGGGAGAAAGGGAGCTCAGAGAACAGAAGGAATTGAGGGGCAGACAAAGCAAAATGCCCAGAATCATTGTTACAGAAGCAGGGGAGTCCCATTGAACCCACTCACAAACAGATATGCAGCTTTTATCCACAGAATACACAGAGCAAAGATACTGACTTAATAGCATCACAAGCCATAAACCATTGCTAAGCAACCAGAGTAATGTTAGCTTTTCTGACCACATGTCTAATTGTTTGATTCATTTCCCTTAATCTCTTATGTAATAAGGTGCACTTCTATCTCGTTTCAGTGTCCAGAGGCTGAAAAACATGCCAAGTGGTTGACAGCTGCTTCCCCCAGGGTATCTTGTGAGAGGGTTGCAATGGTTGAATTTCTTTAGTACTATTCTTCAATGCCTTCCAAAATTCTGCTTAATAAGCAAGCATGCTATAAAATCTCTATGTGGCATGTCTTACCTTCACCTACCATAGAGACACCTATAGACATTCCCATGAATTTGCTTTTGGTCCAGACGTGAACATTTGCACACATCTTCTTCTCCTTGCACTCACAATAAAAACAAGATACTGGGGGGTGATGGGATACTTGTTCAGCTACAAACTGCAGCTTGTAGCAGTCTGGCGAAGTCTGGCCCTTAAGACCTGGAGAGGCACTGTTAGCTCGCAATGGTTTCACCTTGTCTTTAGGCACATCCCAAGAGCAATGAAAAGTTTCTCCGATAATGGGGTTATAGGGCTTCTTGGCAACAGCTCCTTTTCGGCCTTCATGAAAGGCTGTGAGATAATACTCCACAAAGTAAATGATTCTTTCCTCAGGAGTGGTTCCACTTGAAACTGACAGAAGAAGGTCTGGATGGGCCAAGAAGTTGGCATACATTTCCAGCAGGGACCTCTTCTCCAAAATAAAAGTAGGAAGGACTACCTGCATTGAACATTAAAAGGCAATTAGTATTATTTTTTTTCATGGCTACACCAAAAAGAACAAATTGCAATATTTACTGAATGGGGGTGAAAAACCCTAGCCTTCCTCTTAATGCTGCCAGAACTCTCCATCTCAGGATTTTCTATGTAAATAATGAATGACGCAACACTTCTTGCCTTCGGTCAATTATACTAGCCATTTTCTATTCTCTAGAGTTCTCAATAGTCCTCCAAGTAACAAGGTTGTGCTATTCAAGCTGCCTGGGTTCTCTCATTGTCTTACTATGCTTAGCTACTAAGTGAATCAATTGTTTGCTGACAGCAATCATTGTTTACCCAAGTGGCACATCAGTTGGGTTCAAGTTAATGGAGTTCTACTAGAAATCTGCCAACTCTGGCAGCTGGCAGGCTGGATAAAGGACAAAGAAATCTGTATTTGGAACCCAGGAGGGCTGCTGTATTTGAATCCAAGAGTGACAAAAGCATTGCTCATGGTTTCACTTTAAGAAGAATTAAATTGATTCCAACAGTTATAAGAGCATGTTATTTCACATTCCCTTGCCACCTGTCTCCAGTTTTTGCATGCAGTGCTTCAGCTATGCCAAGAATATTTATTTTATTTTATTTTATTTATTATAAGATTTTTTTCCCACCCTTCTACACAGGAGTCTACTCAGGGCGGCTCACAATATATTGTGCACAAAACGGATTTTAAAACAAACAATTAAAATCTACACTACAAATATAATCAAGATGGGAAGATAACAAAAACCCAAGAAAAGTGGAAATCAAGTATTGGCCGGAGGGAAGGCCTGCCTGAAGAGCCCTGCCTCAGCCACCAGGGAGCGAAGAGGATCACATTTGATTGAAAGTGTCAGAGGTGGATAATTGTATGAGTGGTATTGGTGGGAATAAAGTAATTCCCTGTTTGAATAAGTCATGAATGCATCCCTGATGGAGTTCCCGTCTGCTCCAGCTCGAGAGCAATAGACACTGCATTTGGCATTCACACTCGAAGCGAAGACATCGATGTACTCTCCAATGGCGACAGAGTTGATCGAAAATGGTCTCCTTGAGGGACTGCTTGTGAGTCCTCGATGTCATACAGCTGAGATGATCTGCTAAGTATTTGTCGTCCGTCGAAATATGTACTGCAATAGGGAAGATGTGATGTTGGTAACACCATTCCCACAGGTCGATGGCTAGGTACAGGAGGGATAAAGAATGTGTTCCTCCCTGTTTGTTTACATAATATAGGGCAGTTGTATTGTCCGTTGCCAGTTGCACCACTCGACCCTCGTTGATTGGAAGAAAGGCATGGAAAGCTCTAATGATCACTAAGAGCTCAAGATGGTTGATGTGAAGTGATTGTCCTTGTCTTGTCCATAGGCCATGAATTTTGAGATGAAGACAATGTGCTCCCCAGCCAGATGGGCTGGAGTTGGGGGTGACCTGCACCGTCGGATGGAAGAGCAGGAATGGTTGTCCAATATGGAGGTTTGACATCAATGTCCACCAAGTGAGTTGATTGACCAATTCTGGTATCACAGTCAATTTCATGGATGGGTGGGTCTATCACCGGGTTGAATAGTGGGAGGTACCACAATTGGAGCGACCTCATTTTGAGTCGGGCATGCTGGATTACCAATGTTGTGGATGTCATGAGCCCGAGGTGTTGAACATGATGGGCTGAAATGGAAATTTGAAATCGAAAGGGGCAAATTTCCTTCTATAAAGTTAAACTCGTTTCAGGGGGATGAAGGCCCTGGCTTGCATGGAGTTGAAGAGGGCTCCGATGTAGGTGACTTTCTGTGCTCATTTGAGATGAGATGAGATTATTTTGAGTTTGAGATTCTGAAGTGTGTCAAGCGTGCTGGTTGTAGCTCTCATGGCGTTTTGGTATGATGTCACAACTATCAACCAGTCGTCTATGTATGGGTAGATGTCTATACCCTAAAGGCAGTGCGACTGGTGCCATGCACTTTGTGAAAGTCCTTGGCATTGTGGAAAGCCCGAATGGTAGGGAACAGAATTGGTACATGATGTTGTCGAATTGGAATCTGAGAATTTTTTAATGAAATGGATGGGATTCAAATATAGAAGTAAGTGTCCTGTATACCGATCACAACAAACCATTCTCCCCTTTATCTGGGGTTTTAGAAAAGGCTGGCGTTGATGGGACTGATTTCGATTCTGAAAGGATGATGTCGATAGTGGTGGACCTTGGTTGTGATCTGAACTGTCTTCTATCCTTGACTTGGCATCATCAGACAATCTGGTGGATCTAAGCCAGGCGTGTCAGCACAACACTATCAAGGATGCTAGGGTCTTCAATGCTGCATCGGCTGCATGTCTAGCCACAATCCTTTGTAGTTTTGTCAGCTAGGTGGTCTCGGTATGGGCATTAATCAGTTCTGATTGAGTCAGGTGCGGATTCCAGTATTGGGAGAATTTGGTTCCAAAGTTGGTGCTGATAAGCACCCATCGCCGCTTGATAGTTGGCGACTTTAAGTGAAAAGGATTAGAGTGAATAAATTCGTCTACCGATTATGTCAATTCTCTGGCCCGCCTTATAGTAGGGGGCCGCTGAAGACTTATTTCTGGCTCTGGTCTGGTTGGACCTATCAATTATAGAATTGGGAGTAGGATGTTTGGCCAAAAACTTGGTGTCCATTCTATGCATCTTGTACAGGCTTTCAGTCCGTCTTGAGATTTGTAGTGTAGATGATGGCTTGCCCCATGCTTCCTCGATTAGTTTGAGCATCGATGGAATAAAAGTAAGACTAAGTGGAGGGGTCCTTTCTTGATTTATGTCGTTGAAGATTATATCTGCCTCAGGTGATGGAGGTTCTTCGACATGTAGTTGTAGGGATTTAGCCATTCTGGTTATCATCTGTGAATAAGAAGTGAAATCCTCTGAAGGAGATGGAGGATGATTATCGATAGCATCTGAGGTTGGTGTAGGGAGGTTGGATGGTAAGCTAGGGCGTATCGCACATGCTTCGGTTCTTGATAATATGAATGTCCTTGGTATGCTTCCATGTGATACTGTGGAAAATTGGTACACTGGTAGTACTCTCCATACGGAGGCATATATCGAGGAGGAGAAATATGCTTTCGCTTCTCCTGATGTTTTCGGGGAGAGTGTTGAGGAGAGTCCGATCCCGAAAGTTGGACTTTAATCGCCTGCCCTGATGCAGGACTAGAATGGGCCTAGGCCTGGCTGGATGGTACATCAGCCATTGAGAGACCAGTGTGGGGAGATAGGCTACCAGTTGACACTGGAGCGTGAGCCTTTTTTGTTCATGGCCATCTCCCAAAAGTGAGATCGGAACCTTTGGAGCCTTTGTTTAAGTGTCGGCTTGGTCAATTTTTTACATGCCGCACAAGAATGGGTTGGGTGTTGCTTGCCCAAGCAGAATAAACAGCATTTGTGGCCATCAGGTAAAAGGATCTTATTTGAACAGCCGACACACCTTTTAAAAGGACATAAAGAGCGGGAAACCAGAGGGAGAGACGGTTGAAGAGATGGGGGAGTGGCAGGAAGCCAAAAGCGGGAAAGGCAAAGAAACGGAAGTAACTAACAGAGGAACGTCGATTAGTTGATTGGAAAACAGGAAGGTATCAATTTAGGTGTTGATTAGAAGAGGAAATACTAATATAGTTGCTAAAAATCGGTCAGAAACACGCTCTATTATTCTGGAGAACCGCTCAGCATGGCGGGAAAAAGGAACTGAGGGGAATCTTAGGTGGTTGGAGCATGTGCTCCACAGGGAACATCCCACTAACTTTGTACTTTTAAGCTCTAAAATCTTCTGAGACATTCAGCGCAGGTGCAAAACAACCCATTTGTGTGTATTCACAGAGGCCACGAAGAACCACCACTTCCTGCTTGAGCAATCTAATCAGAAAGAATGGTTAACACAACCTGAGAGACCATCTAGTGATACAAGTCTCTATTCTAAGAGATAAAAACAAGTGGTCTAATCAAGTTAGAATGGATACTAAAAGGAAAGAATAAGATCTCTTCATTTTTTAGGATTTGCAGCTGTAGGGGACTTGCAGAGAGGAACTGTCAAGGGGAGAAGGGGAAATGCATATCTATAGTATCAATTTCTCCTAAGCAGATACCTCAGATTGGCAGGGCCACACAAGGAAATACCTTTCCCAGTAACTTAGGAAGAGTAATAGCTTTGGTGCTGAATGGAGCACAACAGCAGCTCCGGAATAATGCCCAGTCACACTGATCCGCCTACCCAATGTCATAGGTGTGATAAACAATGCTCTTTGCTGGGTTGGCTGCATCTATTGATGGACACAGAAAGCAGCTCTAAAATGTAACAGAAGTATGATTGCTATTTATAGAGGCAATGTTTTCACACTAGAGAGGCAAAAAATAAGAAAGCATGAAAACTTTATTCCACACATGACTATACAAACTGCTTGAACACATCACAGCAGCTACATGCAAAGCCACTACAAAGCTATTCCTATGCCTCCCCCACACCCCAAACACCCAAAAGTTTTACTTGGAAAACTATTGTATAGTAAAACCATTTGAGAAGAAACTTGGCAATGTTCTTCACAGCTAATACCAATAATTATGCACTATCAATTCTGACTTATGGTGACCCTTTCCAGGGTTTCCTAGATAGAGGATACTCAGAGGTGGTTTACCATTCCCTTCTTCTGGGGACATTTCTGGTATTCTGCAGCTTGCCAAAGGCCACACAGGCTGACTTTTCTCCCTGGAGGCACTGTGGGGAACAGAACTCCCAACTTCTGGCTCCACAACCAGATACCTAAATCGTTGAACTATCCAGCCAGCTAATATTGACTTAATAGGAAGAAATGAATTGAGACTGCATGAGGCATAAATAGAATGAGTAACCTGTAATCCTCTAGTTACCACAAGACTGTAATTTCTATCATCTCTCACCATTATCTGTACTGGTAGTATAGATGGGAGTTGTAGCCCAACAACATAACAATGAATCAAGC